TCCATTCGTGACAAACTCTTTTCGTGGACGGAGGAAAAGTTCCATGACAAAATCTGTGACAAAGCTATTAGGGATAGAATCGTGACAAAAATCCGTGACGAAAAAACTGTTTTATTTTGTAGGGATGATTTGATTTCATTTTATGCATTCAATTACCAAATAATAAATGAAGCTTCAATAAGTAATGAAATGGAAGAGGCAGAGTAAGAAGAGTGGGAACAAATGCGACCAGGCCGAGTTGGCAATTCGATATGGATCAGCAAAACCAAATGAGATTTGATTATTTCATATACTCGTTTTTTTTGCCCAAATGTAGTTAGCAATCACTCAATAGGTCAATATTCTGAATGATAATGGGATGATATAGGGTTGTGCTTGGTGTACTCAAAAAGTGCAGACTTTTTGTACACTGCCTATGTACCCAGGCAATTGGAAGACAAATACTACATCTTTCTTAACGAATTGCCGGTGTACATTCAGTTGTGTACCTTAAGCATTTTTGCTCAAGTAAAGGGCACTTGAATAAGAATCAGCGGCATAGTTAAGTAAGGTTTTGTTGAGTTCAGGCCATTCCAAATTTGAAAAGGCCTTACACGTAGTATTTTATAAGTCAAAATTTATGTGTAAAAGTGTATTTGAAAAAATCATTTGTTGAAGATGAAAACAAAGGCCACACTCATATCAAGCTCGTGTAAAGATTATCAAGGTGTCAAAGATGAAAATGTCTATTTTCTAGAAAATGTCTATTTTCTAGAGTGTTAGCCTGCTATCTCTAAATAACAAAAAGTCTATTTGTACACGTCAAGTTGGACAGGCCAAGTTGGACCCGTGTGCACATTCGTTTTTTCTGTACTTACAATTTTTTTCATTTTTGTAAAATCAATTATTTCTAAGGCTTGGATGTTGTTGTTGTTGTAAAATCAATTATTTGTGACAAAAGTGAATTAACTCTGACACAGATAAAAGTGTGTGCACAATAATCTGGCGTATACATGAAGCACTTTTGCTCCACATGTAACGGGATTTTCCTATCACCACCCCTTCCAAAACTCATAAAATCCAACCAAAAACATTGGATTGCTTGAACTCCAACTTCCAAGGCTTAGAAGCTGTTCTCTTCGCCTGATCTGAATGTTTCTGATCTGAATTTTTTAAGTTCTGATCTGATCTGATCTGAATTTTTCTGATCTGATCTGATCTGAATCTGTCTGATCTGATCTGATCTGATCTGAATCTTTCTGATCTGATCTGATCTGATCTGAATCTTTCTGATCTGATCTGAATGTTTCTGATCTGGTCTGATCTGATCTGAATGTTTCTGATCTGATCTGAATCCTTCTGATCTGATCTGAATCTTTCTGATCTGATCTGATTCGAATATTTCTATGATTATAATTATAATTATAATTATAATTATAATTATTATAATTGCAATTACAAATATAATTTAAATAAAATTATAATTGTAATTATAATTACAATATTTATCTCTATAATTGTAACTATAGTTATCAATATATTATAATTACTCTGTAAAATAATTACAATAGTAATAATAATAATAATAATAATAATATTAATAATTATAATAAAAATAATAATTATAATCATAAATAATAATTATAATATAATTATAAGTATAATTATAATTATAATTAATAATAATTATAATTATATTAACATTAATTATAATATTATAATTTAATAATAGTAATATAAATACAATTAATATTATTATAATGACATTATTATATTAATATTATTATTACAATAATATAATAATATTATTATTACAATAATATAATAATAATAATAATATGATTATTATCATAATTAGTATTATATTATTATAATATTATATTATAACTATAATTATAATCATAATTATAATTATGATTGTAATTATAATTATAAATATTATTATTATAATTAATTACAATTATATTTATAATTAATTATAGATATAATTATAATAATTACAATTGATTATACTTATAATTATAAGAATTATAATTGTAATTATAATTATAATTACATATAATTATAATATAATATTATAATAATATTAATCATATTATTATTATTATTATAATATTGTAATAATAATAATAATAGTCTTCTTAACAATTGCATTTATATTACTATTATTATATTAAAATATTATAACTATTATTAATATCTTTTTTATCATATTATTATTATTATTATTATTAATTATATAATAAAAATCATAATAGTAATAACAATATTAGTAATAATAATTAATATTTAATATAATGATAAAAATGATAAATCATGTTTGAACTTTTCTGATCTGATCTGATCTGAATGTTTCTGACCTGATCTGATCTGAATCTTTCTGATCTGATCTGAATCTTTCTGATCTGATCTGATCTGATCTGAATCTTTCTGATCTGATCTGATCTGATCTGATCTGAATCTTTCTGATTTGATCTGATCTGATCTGAATAAAATAAGAATAAGCAATAAGTAATAAGAATAAGACGAACAGAACAGCACCTTACTCCTTTCAAAAAATAATGATGTACATATAACTAAAATAGTGAGTGCACAAAAATGTGGGCTCCCATATAAAGTCTAAAAAATGGTTGTGATTATATTTAATTTTAGATTATAATGATCATGAAATTATACACGTAATATTAGTAATAATAATTTTAATCACATTTTTGTTTATTAATTTTATTTGAATAATACTAAGCAAAAACCTTGTTGGAAGTTTACTGTAAAAATGAATTAACATGGGCACGGATCCACATACTCTTGGACCCACAGACGACCCAAATCTACACCGGCACCGAAAGGCCTAGCTAGAGAACCCAGTCCAGGATGAAGAGATGGACTTTCTGTCCATATCATCACCTCGGCACACCCACCTCGGAGGAACACACCTCGGCACGGGCCGCCAAGACCCACCTGGGGATTCTCACCGCCAAGACCGAGGGGCACCCACACGGCCACGCACCCCGGACCCATCGCTAGCAGAGATCGTCATTCTACCCTTAGCGGATTAGAACACATGTAAACAGCCCATTAGCGGCCCATTATTGTAATCGGGCCTCTAAACCTGCACAAAAACGGGTTTGGGCCGGGCTTTTTATAAATTTTCTGCCCATCATGTGTGGGCGGGCCCGGCCCGGCCAGCAAAAACTGGCCTAACACCATGTCCATACCCGCCCGTAAAAACGGGCCGGGGAGTCCACCGGCACGGGAAAACTTTAAATTTTCAAAATTATAAATTTTATAATACTTTAAAAATAATATTACATTTAAAAAATTGTTAATATGCTAATTATTTTTATAGGCCTTTCACCACATACAAAAAAATAATAATGAAAAATTATATCTAAAATTTAAAATTTAAGCACAAAGTATTATCTTTAAGTACAAAAATAAATATTATATTGGTTGAGCTAGTTGTTAAGAACTAAAAGTTTAAATTTAATCATAATAGACTATAAATATGTATAAAGAAAAATTAGTAAATATAAATATACATGTCTACATGTAAATAAATAAATAAATTAGTATATATGTATATATATAAATGTTGTGGGCCGGACTTATCGCCCCGAACGGGCCTACACCCTAAACTCAAGCCCGCCCATATCTTATTGCGAGCCGGGCCTAGCCCGGTGGGTAAATATATATGCCCAAGCCCGCTCATTTGTGCGGGCGGACCGACCCGGTTTTGTGCAGGTCTACGGGCCTCCCGGCCTCCCAAGTCCAAGACCTGAGAGCCCAACCCATATTCCCTCTATAAATACCCCTTGGGGTAGTTGTAGAGGGTTTACAGCTCATTTATTGCAAGTTCTTTATCTCTCTATTATTAGCTTTCCCTTCTCTCTAAAGCTATACTAGCGATTTATCGGAAGCTCTCAATGATTTTTATGTCAATTTTACATTTTGTCCGCATCTTTCATTTTATTCACTTTTGGTACATGACTAATGTTTTTTGACCATTCATAGTCCTTTTCCAGCGATTTTAATCACAGGACACATTGATGGATAGACTATATACGGGTGAAAAACAATAGTTATGTACCACAAAAGATGTAGACCAATTATGGAATTGATGCGATAACGTAGCATTTGGAATTTGTTCTTGCAATACGAAAAAATTGGAGTGGATATAGATTTCTTCATTTCTTCTTGCAAGTAATACTGTGGTCTTCATCGTGTTTAAACTCAATTCGTACATTTACCCGAGTTAATTTGACAATTGTGAGATCAATAATTTCAGGTATGGGTTTACGTAGATAGTGACCTTTTTTACCCAAACAGACTCATAATGACCTAATCGACAGGATTTGACCGATTTGTACATCCCCTTTGTGAATTGTGATGTGCAAATTGGAATGACAAACCTAACATTACCGTGTGGGTAATTCGGTATGCAACAAAAGCAGTGGTATACGATCAACAAGTTTTATTTACACGAAATATCCCATCCTTTTTTCAATAGTTTTTGCTTCATTTCCCGCAATTTTTCTTGGATAAAGTCTTACAGTCCTGATTGTTTAGTCACGATGTTGTGTAATATTATTTGCATGATGATGCTTACGATTTACATCCTTCCATTGTTTTTAGAATGAATTCAAAAAAGTATTGGACAAGAAAGTTTAGGTATAAGATAAGTTTTGGACAGAAAATTATGGAAATTTTCACAAAAAGTTTAGAATGAATTAAGTTTTGGACAAGAAACATCCCTACATTTCACAAGCAAAATATTTACTTTACATTTTAACGAACGCTCTCTTAGAGCAAAGCAGCCAGGGGGGACTCCAAACATGTAATAGGTGCTTTGTTTAATTGTTTTCAATTTTTCACTAATCCAAACATATTTGATCTTGATTTTATATCTGCAAACAACAGCAGAATATTTATTCATTTCTAGTGCAATCAGTCTATTCGCATAATAATACTTTCAAAGACTTATCATCCTTGGATAGTGTTCCATTCTAAAAGGTAAACATCAGTGGTCCTATAACAATATATTGTTCGTTATAAATTATATGTTACCATTCAGATTCCGGGTTTTAGTCAATCTGATATAAGTAGTTCAGTGCCTTATGTAAATTTGAATCTTTATATTGTAGCGGGTAGTATGACTTGTCTTATATGTTAGTTCAGATCTTCAAATTTTGGCTCGTATATACTAACCTATCAGCAAAACTTATAAATACAAGCAATGATCTTATTCAGGTTTATACCTTCTGAACTTGTGTATGCACTATATATGGAGTTTATTATACTTGAGGAAAGGGAACAACTGCTTCAAAAGCTTCCACAAGCATCGCCACCCTTCTTTTGCGAGCTGGTGTTAGTTTAGTGACAATATTTTGGACAGCATAATCTAGCATCCATTGCTCCGCCTTCCTCCTCTCATCGATCATCTGATTCCTTAGCTCCACTTTTTCTGGTTTCCTGGCACTTTGAAGAGCCGTGATGGATCTCTTCAACAACATGAGTCTCTTCAGCTTGCTCCAATTCTTGGACTTTGAAAGAGTCACTTGTTTCTTTCCTTCTTCCTTGACGACAATACTATCACCAGTGTCGCCATCTCGAACCTGGTTTGAATTATTCTGCGGGAGGTTTATTACTGGCAGCTCCTTTCCGGGAACCATGTCACTAGTGACCAATTGTGTGTCGGATGAATCGTCTTGAACCTTTGTTATGAGGATCTCATGAACCACCTCTTTCACAAGCTCAATAGCATCGTCCCTACTGAAATCTTGGTGAGCTTTTCTTCCCCGCACAGTAATTACGACCTCGACCTCATCATCTGTTTCATCAAGCAGCTGGGTCCCAACCTTTGTGATCACGCCTGGAAGGACGTGTTGAGATATCATATGCCACATGCTGATGTGCTTCTGCTTTTCAGGTTGTTGATGCTTTGTCTCCTCCTCAAGGGTAATTTCAGTAGCTACTTTCTTGTCATGGTAAATTGTTACTTCATCTGCTTTCGGGGAACACTCATTCCCTTTTGTTGTAATTTGCTCTTCTTCACTGTTGGATTTGAGCTTAGGAAGTGTGGTTTGAATACTATTACTACAACCTCCCTGAGGTGGGACCACTGTTTCGAATGCTCTTACGAGAAGTTCTACTTTCCTTTTCTGGGTAGGAGCAAGTTGGCTCACTGCTTGCTGTAGTGCGTAATCGAGCATCCATTCCTCTGTTCTTTTCCTTTCGTCGACGTTTTGAGGTCTCAGGTAGCGAATCTTTTCTGCTTCTGGGTCATGCTCAACATCATCCTCAAGCTGCCTTGTGTTCCTTGGACGATTGATCCTTTTGACCTTTTCCAATTCTTTGACAAACCGTTGGAGAAGAATCCATTTCTTTAAATTGTCCCAATGTTTAGGTGCTTTCTTTTCAGGTTTTATGGAAACTTCTCTTATTGTTTTTACTTTTTCCTGGAAACCTTTGCTATCAGTGATCAAACTTGACTCTGAATCTGCAGCATAGGAATAAAACTAGTTTTATAGGTCTCCCTATCATAGAAAAGAAGAAATACTGACTTTTAATATGAACCAAACACACGCATAGATAAATACCAAGAATTGATGCTTGACTCACATATATATATTAGACTCAAACTCAGTAGACAACCGATATAAGGATGCTCTACACAGTACACGCCTCCTTGATTTATCTTAATAATCAGGTTGGACAACTTAAGGGGTGTACAAATGAGCAAAGCTGACTAAATTCTTATACCTCTTCAAATAGGGTCAAATTCTTATACAAGGCCTAAGACTACTTTTCCTATAAATTGGTTTCTTAGGATGAAAAATCCAAGTCTTAACATTTATGATACTCACTAAGCTAATTTAGATAAACGTACCATCATCTTTGCTGTATTCTGATGTTTCTTGATCAAGAGTGCTTTGATCACTTGCTATTGATTGATTGTCCGATGACAGTTCAGAAACTTCAGGAAGGAGAATCTTCTCTATCGCTTCCCGTACGAGCTTAATAGCAATAAGCTTCTTGACTTCAATCTCATTCTCCCCATTCAGATCTGCATTTTCCATTTCTGTGCTGCAAGATTCTGAACTTACTGGTGCAGCCAACTGGTTTGCTGTCTCATCAGCAGGATCTGATATCATATGCTGTTGGAAAAGGTTCCACATGTTGAAATGCTTCTCCTTAGTTGAGGACTTGGATTCATAATCTACAAGTCGTGCCCGATTCTTCGGTTCAGATTTTCCAGCTGAACTTGGCTGGGAAATTATGCCCTGCAAGTCTAATTTGGCTTTATTAGACGGATGGGTGTTTCCTTTCACACAGCTATCCTCTATGGTTGAGGTAGCTATGAGATTTGGACTATTTCTCCTATCGGGATTTGACAAAGTCTTTGGTCGAGTGTCATGAGAATGTTTATTGAGACAACAATGATGGTAAGAACAAACTTTATATGCTGATAGTCTTTCTGAGTCGACCCTTTCGGGAAACTTTGAATTCTTGATGGTTGAAGCACAAGTTGATTTAACACGCACAGAGTACTTCTTGGGTTTGAAACTAAGCCTCACACCCCTCATGCTAGAAGTCCTCATTAATGTTTTAAACTTGTTTGGTTGAGCATTAACAGGAGTTTGACTGTCACCACTACTACCCAAATTAGATTCAGAACCATGGGGACTTGCCTGGAAACTCCCTTCTGTGTTGATGGGCAAGGAAGAATTCGACTTCTCTTCTGAAACTAAAGTAGGCTTCTTCTTCATTCTCGTTCTCCCCTTTCTTCTGAACGATATTGTGCCCCGGAAATTCTGTGTCATGTCTTTTACTCCTTTTAGGCTTTTGATTTTGTGGTCTGACGTTGAAGAAGACATAGACAACCGATCATCTCCTCCCTATCACAACTCAAAAGACCCATTTTTTAATGATAAATCTCACTTCGAATCAGTAAAAGCAAATAAATATACAAAACCAACATATAAAGACGTGATGTAATACATTGCTGAAAAGAGAGAGCTAAGATCATACCAGTGATCTTTCTTTCTTTGCATCAAAGCAGGCAGTGGTTTTCATGAAATGATTAGAATGAGGGGAGGAATCTGGCATTTGATCGAACAGGACTCGTACTGGTATAGCTGGTCTGCACTTTTACGGATTTCTCTCTTGATGTAAGGAAATCAGAAGGCAGAAGAGTTTTATTGAGTCAACTGCCATTTCACACCATTATGATTTCTGCAGTATAATACTCGTATTCCAACCAGCCAACCAACTTCTCTCTACCTTTCCTTTTATGACGGACGATGTTGAAATAATCAATGGTATGACAATTATATCTTCTTCTTTTTTGTAAATGGCATTAATGAATGGTTAAATTCTGGTAGTAAGCTTGTCCTTTCTATAACAACAACAAAAATTGTTCTACATAAATTAATGAAAAGAGATATTTTTGAATGGAGATTATGGGAAGGCATATATACTAGGCCAGTTGGCCTGTACAACCTTTGAAGTTTGAACGAATGATGAGTTACTTTAGGGGTGGGTCCGTGAAACCAAAAACCAAAAACCGAATCGAAAAAACTCGAACCGCAAACAAAAGAACCGAACCGCAACCAAAATAACTGAACCGCTAGAAAACCGAAACCGAACTCAAAAAACTGAAATGAACCGAAGTTGTTTGGTTTCGGTTTTGATTTTCACATCTCAAAACCGAACCGAACAAACCGAACTTTTTAAAACTTGCTATTTTATTTATTAATCATTAAGTATGATATTTTGTTTAGTTCGTAATTTTTAATTCTAGAAAATTAATGTTTGGTACTAGATTTATTATGATTTGCAAGATATTGACTTTTAATATTTATGGTTTAAGTAAGCGAAACACGTGTCCATACACTTAAGTCTATTGCTATAATACTAATATATGTTGGTATTTTAAATCGTAATTTACATTTTGCTTGTTGTTACATGATAATGATATTTTATTGATATATTATTTGTTGTGTATGTTTGTTATCAATATTTTTTTATATGGAACAAATATGTATTAATCTAAACTATACTTTAAACAACATAGCCGAAAATGTGAAACTTTATATCATAGATATCTTTGTCTAAAAAGAAAGTAGAATAAGTTATATACTATCAAGAAAAGTCTTTTGATAAAAAAGAAAATGAATTAGTGGACACAACATTTATAAATGAAATTTTAACTTGCGAATACACTATATATAATTAAAAAATAAACTCATGTGTTTATTTAATTTAGAAGATGTTTAAGTATAATTCGTATACACGTACTCTCTAATTCATTGCTTGGAAGTGCATTTGTTTCTTCTTTCCTTTCTAATTATGTTTGTGTATTCTAATACTATTAATTATAGTTTTATGTATTTTATTTTTGTTTTAGTTTTCCAATTACTATGTTTTTAATCAACAAAAATGTTTTGGCAAAAACCGGAAAAAATCGAAAGCGAACCGAAATAAACCGAACCGAACAAATCATTGTTCCAAATTTTTGAGCATAAAACCGAACCGAACTGAACCGAACTTTTTACTTTGATTCAACATTTGGTTTTAGGTGAAAACCGAACCGTTTGGACCTAACCCACCCCTAAGTTAGTTACTCACTAGAGTCTAGACCCGCACAAAAATGGGTCGGCCCACCTGCACAAATGGGCGGTATTGGGCATATATTTTTACCCACCAGGCCGAACCGGGCCCGACGCGCTAAATTTAGTGCATATATATATATATATATATATATATATATATATATATATATATATATATATATATATATATATATTGGGTGAGATCACATACTAACCATTCCTCCCATGCTAACCTACAAACTATCAAAAACGGTGCATCTTTACATTATTTGTACTGCATATTGAAGTTCAAAGTGTTGCATATTATTTGTACTGCATATTAAAGTTCAAAGTTTTGCATATTGTTTTTATTGCATATTGAAATTCACAGTGTGCATCTTTACATTATTTGTACTGCATAATGAAGTTCAATGTGTTGCATATTATTGAGTTAGTAAGTTAGTATTTTAAGCATGGTTAGTATGTGATCTCTTATCTATATATATATATATATATATATATATATATATATATATATAGAGAGAGAGAGAGAGAGAGAGAGTTAATTGTTCAGCCGGCCTGACGGGAACCTCCGTCCAGACAAGGGCATTTTTGGTCTTTCATCAAGTCTAGTTTCTCCATACCAAATTTCAGCTAAAAATTCAATCGGGAAGGCAGTCAAAACTTTTCTTTTTCGTCCGTCCCAATTAAAACATTCACTTTACCTTTTTGGTAAAGAATTTGTGGTACACAACATTTCTTACACATTTCTCTCTCCTCTGCACAACTCTCCATCACACAATACCCACTATCTTAAACTGTGTGTCCAACCCATTTGGAAGTTTTATTAGGGACGGAATGGTCAAATGACCTCCTTCAATTGTACCTAGTTAGGTTGTTCATTTCACTCATTAACTAGACGAAATACTCGTGCGATGCATGGGGTATATCTAGAGTACCACACAAAAACTTGCTTTAAATTATATATTATTATGATGATTACCTAGTATAGCAACGTGTAACTTTTTTATATAGAAACGAGATAGTGCTATATATAGTAGGGATCATACGAGAACATGATCTAAAAAGATAAATGAAAATGATTCTGGAACGTTGGATTTAGGTATTGTGCATCATGTAAAACATAAATGTGCATATCATAAATTGAAAAATATGCATTTCAATTGTTCAAAAGTTTAAAAGTAAACGTGCATATTTGAATTTTGCATTACTTCAAATATAAATGTGCATTTCTGTGAATCATAATGTTCATCATTTTGGAAAGTTCTCATTTTCACGATAATTAAGGAGCGTTCTCACTGGAACTGCATCCAATATGTGTTGTGAGGATGGGTCCTGCCAGACCAACATGATAGGAACCACTACCAAGCCGCCTCCATTTGAGGTGCTTACGAGTGGACTTTTTTGATAAAATTTCATAACCATTGTAAGGAATAAATGTAATTAGATTTTGATGATGCTATAGGATTAGAAAGTTAGAGTACCCCAAATTAGATTTTGTGTATTAGAAATTTTCAATTGTAAGTATTAGTGTAGTCGACGATCAGAGTTGCTCTACTTTGGATCTGATCAGAAGTGCATCAGAACTGCTCTATGAGAACTGCTCCATCAGAGTTCTCTTAGCAGAAGTCCATCAGAGTTGCACCATGAGAGTTGCTGATAAACTTGGACATCTGATAACCGATGAGAACTACAGATCAGAGGCACTCATCAGCGGACCTATCAGAGTCAGAGTTAGAGTTCTATCAGAGATCAGAAAGCCTTCAGAACTCAACTCATCAGAAGGCCATCAGAATCCAACACATCAGAAGAGCCCGATCAGAGCCCGACTAACACTTAGAAGATTTCAAGCAACATCCAACAGCTCTGAATCCAACGGGTAAAAACATCCAACGGCTACAAGACTGTGCATGAAAGAAAAGCATTTAATGCACATTAAATGAGCCTGATACGCTGAAGGATTGATTGCAAATGATTGACCAAGGAATCCGGGAAGATATATTATAAAAATAGAAACCTTCCAAAACGGCGGTCAAGTCAACTGTACGCGCATTTAATGCAGTTGTCTCCTCCTCCAACGGGCAGACTGTGACACCGCACCCGAATGTCCTTGGAGATTTGATTTAGATATTCAAAGTTTATGTATTGGATTTTTATTCCCGAACAATTTGTAAAACGATTAATGTTCTACGTAGTGCATGATTGAATATCGTACTGTTCAAACTCGTACACTAGTGTCGGGTTTCGCAAATACTTATTCGGGACTTATTAATAAATAAAAGAGCCCAATAATACGTATGACAAATGTCAAATAAGTGATTGAATGATTAAGGAAGAATACAAATGCCTATAACCCCACCTTGGGCCTTATTGAGCTAAATAATGGGAGTAGGATTTTCCTTCTATAATATTCATCAAGTAAATTATTGGGACGAGCCTACACATATTGGAGATCAATAATGTGATTTAGGAAGTTGACTTGTTCTAAGTAAATTAGGATGAGTACAAAAAGACATTTTTGACAAAGATAAAACAATAGGACCCATCTTCCCATTTTTGGAAGTATTGGTAGATATTTTGGACCCCAAATTTAATGGGATCAATTGGGAACCACTCCACATGATATTAGTACCTTCAAGACAAGGAAAATATGTGAGAAGACTCACCTTGGCCGCACCACATGGAGAAGCACTGCCCATGACACAATTGGAATCAAATTTTGGGGCCACCACCACTGTTTTCGCACAAACAGGTGTACTGTTTTGTCTCCCTTCATTTTGAGAGTTGTACTCGTCCAAATGAGGTGTATAAGGTGTCCTTGGATAGCCTTTGAAGTCTATTTTCATAATTGAGTGGTCTCTGTTCGAGAGGAGTGAGTAATCATCCAAAAATCGATCTGAAGCGAGCAGTGGTCTGTGAATTCGAGCTGTGAGAGTGCTGAGACTGTTTGGTTGATATCTCGAGTTTTACCAATCCAATTAAGGCGTGTGAGATACCAAAAGAAAGCTCTCAAGACGAAGAATCCGTGAAGGTCTGGTTTGCATCAATCGGAATAGAGGAAGGCTTCCAAATCGTCCGAGCAAAACACAACCTCGCAGAAACGGATTTACTCTTCTAAAGTGAGTTGTTAACCCCAAATCCTTTCCATTCATTTTCCAAATGATATGAACGATTGGTGGGACTATTGTACACTAATCCAAGTGTATAATATGTCCTTGAAAAGTTATTTTATTGATGTAAAGGTTAGATACTAACCTAAAGCAAATATTGGAAAACTAGGAATCGAGTTAGCCGGAAAACACCCGTTCTAGGGGCTGTTTTCGTATCAACGATTAGGGGTTGAAATAGCAACTTGAGGAAGCTGTTTAACACCCATTTTCAAGCAAGGAACCAGTTCTCAATCTTCCTTGGCCGAGGCTTTGGTCATTGGATCGAGAAGGAAGGTTTTAAAGCTCATTTGAGGTGAGGACCGACATCTAGTTGCTTACAACTTGTAGGTTATGCATGAGATTACCTAAATGCTTGAATCATGTTTTTGTGAATAAATATGCTTGAACATGATATGAATGATAAGTAATGGACTTGACCATGAATTGAAACCATATTGATGAATATGGAGTCATGTGAGATAAAAGTATGCTAATATGGTAAATTGACCTTCCAACTCATGTATGAATGTTATGTGTATGTAAATGTATAATTGCATGATGATGCTTAGCACATGGGAGGCTGCCACATATCTATTGATATGGAGGGGCTACCATTTATGATAAATGAGTTGTAGGAATAATCTTAATAGTATTGTGATGCTAGTTAAGGATTGTTCAAAATGTTGATAGAATCAAATTTAAGGTTTGAGTTGTTTGTGATGAACTTGAATAAGGTTCAAGTGTCAAGTGTGATCGTATGAAGTAGGAGATCTATGGTGTGATTATATGAAGTAGGAGATCTATGGTGTGATTATATGAAGTAGGAGATCTATGGTGTGATTATATGAAGTAGGAGATCTATGGTGGGATTATATGAAGTAGGAGATCTATGGGGTGAATACATGAAGTAGGAGATCTATGGTATGATTATATGAAGTAGGAGATCTATGATGCGAGTGCATGATGATGTACTCGAGCCTAACTCTAGAAATGAGAAGTTATATTAGGGTTGGACCCTATGTATTGTCGTGACTATTAGTCACGGGGTTTGGGAAATGTTTTATAACAAACACGGGCCTTTGAGCCGACTACTTGACTTTATATATAAAGTAAGTATATTTTTAAAAAGGGGTAACTTGGGGTTACGGCCTAGATTATACTATCACCCTATTTGAGGGTCTTGTGTTTGAAATACTTGTTGTATATCTATTAGATGCCATCCACACCAGCACTTTATAGCCCTATAGAGTGCTGACCCCTTCGGGGGCGTCCCACCACCATTTTTCAGGTTGAGGCTAGAGCTTGCTTCCTGTGCTCGTTGCTCGAGAGATCATCTAGGAGCGAAGACTTGGTTCGTGCTTCCTCCATTCGGATTTTAAACATTAATAAACATGCTCATGGATATTTTACTATGGAGCCTGCGTGCTCATGAATAGCCCGGTGTGGCCTTTTGTTTTAAACAATGTTTTCCGCTGCATTATGAATTACTTATTATGTTTGTTTATGGATGTACATGTGTGAATGATATTCAAGACGCCTTGTATAATATGAATGTGTTGGACTGCGGTTGACTATTCGTATTGTACGGCGGGTTGTTGACGTGTCCGGATAGGTCCGGGGCGTGACAATTAAGTTGGTATCAGAGCCTTAGTCCATAAACTTCATAATGAAGTCTCAAAACTCTCTATTTCAAAATGATTTTGAAAACCATGAGCATAAACGTTTTGTACTTAAGAACTTTTGGTGTTTGAGTTGCAAGGTCTCTAATTGTTAAGATGGCGCCCTTAACGATTGGTATGGCGGCGACTTGGCCCAAGAGATGTCTTAAGTACCTATCTGTCAGTTGACATTTGAAACGAGTCTAATGACTCATTCCAATTATTTCTTTCAGCGATGGAGGGTGATGGTGGTACTATGAATAGGGAGAACTCGGAAGGGTTTGCACCGGGTGGAACCGGGCATGCCAACCGAGAAAAGCCCGTAGGAATAAAGGTTCACGAAATTCTTGAAGCTCAAATCATGAGTGGTGGTCATGTTAAGACCAAGGAAGAATCACCTTGTTATGGCAAAACTGAACCACTCAAGGCTTCGGGTGACAAAGGAGATGATTTGAGTGATGAGGACCTTGATGGTGCACCCATTGAACAAATGGGCATGGTCATAGATTGGCTTCAACGTGAACGTGTGAGGCTTATACAAAAATGCCAAGCTAGGCAAGCTAAGGGCATACCATTAGTAAGGAAAAGGAAGTGGGGAGACAACGATTCACAAAGACATTCAAGGAGGACAAACGTTGAGGGTGACAAAACCTTCAGGGCGCAGACACTATCACTTGAGTGGAGTCGAGGCTCGGGTGGCCAGAACTCGAGGTCAAAAGGTTCGAGAGTACCTAAGTGCACAAATTGTAAGAAGCACCACCCGGGTAAGTGTTGGGAACCTCCTAGGTGCTACCGATGCAGAGAGATCGGGCACACGAATGCGAATTGCCCACAACTTGTACCCGACCAAACTTTGGGCTCAAGTAGTACGACTATAGGCATACAGAGTCAAGCCGGGGCCTCTCAAGCAAGCAAGGAACATGGCGGAGCAAGTGTGAGCAACGCGCCGTCCGTGAATCAAGGGAGGACTCACGCTAGAGTCTATACGATGACGGAGGCGGAGGCTCGAGCGAACCCGGATTCCGTTGCAGGTATAACCTCTTGTATACTTGTGTTTTACCCTTGATTAGTCCATAAATTGAGGTTGCTAGTCGTTGGGATCATTGCACGAAGTTTTGGGGTAAAACGGAGCGAAATCGGGCGAAAGACGGCTGATTTCCGCCAACGCACACCAGGCTGGACCATACGCACGGCCGTGCGTTGTCCGTGCGTTGGTCCGTGCGTTGGTGGCAGTAGCAACCGGGAAGAAATTGCTACACGCACGGCCGTGCGTTGTCCGTGCGTTGGTCCGTGCGTTGGTGGCAGTAGCAACCGGGAAGAAATTGTTATACGCACGGATGTGCGTTGTCCGTGCGTTGGTCCGTGCGTTGGTGGCAGTAGCTCCGTTTTGAGGTTATAAGACACGCACGCCGTGCGTACCTCCTAGGCACGCCGTGCGTACCTCCTGGACAGCCCAAAGTCGACTTTTTCGCGCCGTATTGCAACGTTAAGACCCGTTCTTGATCCCAAACACGTGTGTGAACATAATAAACCTCTCTAAATGAGTAGGGAGGGTAGGAAAGATGTCTTACATGGTTCATGAATGTAGGGACACTAAAGATTAATGGGAAGGATGCGCGAATCCTTATCGATACCGGGGCGCAACGTTCATTTGTGAATCAAGCGTTCGCCAAGAGTTTGGAAGTGCAATCCGCACCATTGATGCAAACCTTAGTGGTATCAACACCACTAGGGGATGACGTGGAAACAACTCGTTACTATCCATCTTGTGGGGTGGAAGTTAATGGTCAAACCTTGACGTGTGACTTCGTACCGCTGAGCATGATTGAATTCGATGCAATCCTAGGGTTGGATTGGCTAGAAAGGAATCATGCTAGGGTAGATTGCTACACGAAGGTTCTTAAACTCGAAGGCAATGATGGGGAGACCCTACGCTTCGAGGGCGATCGAGGGAGATCAAATAGCTGTATCATATCCGCCGTGAGAGCGAGAAGTATGATGAGAAAGGGATGCCACGCCTATCTAGCATACGTGGTTGACAAAACCAAAGAGGAAACGAACATCGATGATGTGAGGGTGGTTTGTAAGTATCCGGATGTCTTCCCTAAAGACCTACCGGGGCTTCCACCTGATAGGGAGATTGAAATTGTGATCGAGGTCGAGCCTGTTACCAAACCAATCTCCATACCGCCATACCGTATGGCACCCGCTGAACTTAACGAGTTGAAAACCCAATTGCAAGAGCTTTTGGATAATGGTTTCATTAGACCAAGCCACTCCCCGTGGGGAGCACCAGTTCTTTTTGTGAAAAAGAAAGATGGGACACTTCGAATGTGTATTGACTATCGTCAACTGAACAAGGTCACAATCAAGAATAGGTATCCCTTGCCTAGGATTGATGACTTGTTTGATCAACTACGAGTGGCGACTGTGTTTTCAAAGATTGACTTGAGGTCGGGTTACCATCAACCGAAGATTAAGGAAGATGACATACCAAAAAGTGCTTTTCGCACAAGGTATGAGCACTTTGAATTCCTTGTTATGTCGTTTGGGTTAACAAACGCCCCAGCGGCATTCATGGACTTGGTGAACCGAGTATTTCATAAATACTTGGACCGATTTGTGATTGTGTTCATATATGACATCTTAATTTACTCAAGGAGTGAAGAAGAACATGAGCGGCACTTGGTCCTGGATCTTGAAACACTACGAGAGAAGCAATTTTGCGCCAAGTTCTCTAAGTGCGAGTTTTGGCTTAAAGAGATTGGCTTTCTTGGGCATGTAGTTTCTGAGTCAGGCATTGCCGTGGATAACAAGAAGATTGGGGCTATCACATAATGGGAAAGGCCTAAGAACGTGAAGGAGATTCGTAGTTTCCTCGGGCTAGCAGGTTACTACAGATAATTCGTGGAGAAGTTCTCAGTTTTAGCATCGCCATTGACAAAGCTCACTCGAAAGGGAGCTAAGTTTATATGGGATGACAAATGTGAGAAAGGATTCATCGAACTGAAGAAGAGATTGACCGAGGCACCGGTACTTGCATTACCCAAACAGGGTGTGGGGTACGATGTCTATAGTGACGCGAGCATCCAAGGGTTTGGGTGTGTGTCGATGCAGAAGGGGAGGGTAATTGCCTATGCTTCACGACAGTTGAAGAAGCATGAGGTAAATTATCCTGCCCATGATCTGGAGCTGGGAGCAGTAGTGTTTGCACTGAAGATTTGGAGACATTATCTCTACGGAGAGACTTGCCACATATATACGGATCATAAGAGCTTCAAGTGCGTGTTTACTCAGAGAGAGTTAAACATGAGACAGGGACGGTGGATGGAGTTGATAAAGGACTACCATCTAGTTATTGAGTACCATCCAGGTAAGGCAAACGTTGTAGCAGATGCCCTCAGTCGGAAGAGTTCGTCTGGGGCATTGTTGACAAATTTGAGGGCACTGAGGGCCCAATTGGATGTATCTAGCGACGGTGTCTTATCGGCACGATTCGAGGTGAGACCGACCTTACTTGATGAAATCAAGAAGGGTCAAGAGACTGACGCAGAACTTATGAAGGTCCGGGAACGCATGCAGGCGGGACCGGTGGAGGATTTCAGGGAAAGAGATGATGGTCTCTTGTTATTTCGTGACCGAGTGTGTGTACCGTCAGATTATGAGCTCCGAAAGTCCATCTTAGAGGAGGCTCATTCATCGGCTTATGTCATGCACCCGGGGGGCACGAAAATGTATCGTGATTTGAAAGAAAGTTACTGGTGGTCTGGTATGAAGAGGGAAATGGCTGAATACATTAGTCGATGCCTTACTTGTCAGCAAGTTAAGGCAGAACATCAGCATCCAGCAGGCTTGTTACAACCACTTTCCATTCCTGAATGGAAGTGGGAACATGTGACTATGGATTTCGTGGTAGGTTTACTACGGACAATTCGGAACTATGATGCAATTTGGGTTGTTGTGGATAGGCTCACAAAGAGTGCACACTTCTTGCCTATCAACACCACCTACCCACTTGAGAGGTTAGCCAAATTGTATACGGATGAGATCGTGAGGCTGCATGGGGTCCCAGTGACCATTGTATCCGATAGAGACCCACGATTCACATCACGTTTTTGGCCGAAATTTCAAGAGTCTATGGGAACGAGATTGAAGTTCAGTACTGCATTCCATCCACAGACGGATGGGCAGTCTGAAAGGGTTATACAGATCTTAGAGGATATGCTGAGGGCTTGTGCGTTAGAGTTCCAAGGAAGTTGGGACAACCACTTAGCACTTGTGGAGTTCGCCTATAACAACAGTTATCAGGCAAGCATCGGCATGCCTCCACACGAGGCATTGTATGGGAGGAGGTGTCGTACACCGTTATGTTGGGACGAGGTCGGCATGGCCAAACTCGAAGGTACTGAGTTGGTTGAGGTCACCAAATCAAAGGTGAAATTGATTCGAGAGAGACTCAAAGCGGCTCAGGATAGGCAAAAGAGTTATGCAGATAAGCGTCGAAGAACCTTAGAGTTTAAGGTTGATGACGAGGTGTTCTTGAAAGTTTCTCCTTGGAAAGGAATCATTCGATTTCAAACCCGAGGGAAGCTTAACCCACGGTACATAGGTCCATTCAGAATTATAGAGAGGATTGGGGCCGTGGCATATCGTCTACAGTTGACTCCTGAGTTAGAGAAGATACATAATGTGTTTCATGTATCCATGCTTAAGAAGTATGTGCATGATCCCTCTCACGTATTGGAGAAGCCACCTGTAGAGGTACGTGAGGATTTGAACTACGTTGTTCAACCTATCAAGGTCACCGATAGAAAGGTGAAGAAACTGAGGAGCAAGGGAGTCCCAATGGTTAAAGTCCTGTGGAAGAGCGATCGGGTCAAGGAAGAAACATGGGAAACAGAAGCTTTGATGAGGAAGCAGTATACTTTCCTATTCGAGTAGAGCTGTGAATTTCGGGGACGAAATTCCTGTTAAGGGGGGGTGAACTTGTGACACCGCACCCGAATGTCCTTGGAGATTTGATTTAGATATTCAAAGTTTATGTATTGGATTTTTATTCCCGAACAATTTGTAAAACGATTAATGTTCTACGTAGTGCATGGTTGAATATCGTACTGTTCAAACTCGTACACTAGTGTCGGGTTTCGCAAATACTTATTCGGGACTTATTAATAAATAAAAGAGCCCAATAATACGTATGACAAATGTCAAATAAGTGATTGAATGATTAAGGAAGAATACAAATGCCTATAACCCCACCTTGGGCCTTATTGAGCTAAATAATGGGAGTAGGATTTTCCTTCTATAATATTCATCAAGTAAATTATTGGGACGAGCCTACACATATTGGAGATCAATAATGTGATTTAGGAAGTTGACTTGTTCTAAGTAAATTAGGATGAGTACAAAAAGACATTTTTGACAAAGATAAAACAATAGGACCCATCTTCCCATTTTTGGAAGTATTGGTAGATATTTTGGACCCCAAATTTAATGGGATCAATTGGGAACCACTCCACATGATATTAGTACCTGCAAGACAAGGAAAATATGTGAGAAGACTCACCTTGGCCGCACCACATGGAGAAGCACTGCCCATGACACAATTGGAATCAAATTTTGGGGCCACCACCACTGTTTTCGCACAAACAGGTGTACTGTTTTGTCTCCCTTCATTTTGAGAGTTGTACTCGTCCAAATGAGGTGTATAAGGTGTCCTTGGATAGCCTTTGAAGTCTATTTTCATAATTGAGTGGTCTCTGTTCGAGAGGAGTGAGTAATCATCCAAAAATCGATCTGAAGCGAGCAGTGGTCTGTGAATTCGAGCTGTGAGAGTGCTGAGACTGTTTGGTTGATATCTCGAGTTTTACCAATCCAATTAAGGCGTGTGAGATACCAAAAGAAAGCTCTCAAGACGAAGAATCTGTGAAGGTCTGGTTTGCATCAATCGGAATAGAGGAAGGCTTCCAAATCGTCCGAGCAAAACACAACCTCGCAGAAACGGATTTACTCTTCTAAAGTGAGTTGTTAACCCCAAATCCTTTCCATTCATTTTCCAAATGATATGAACGATTGGTGGGACTATTGTACACTAATCCAAGTGTATAATATGTCCTTGAAAAGTTATTTTATTGATGTAAAGGTTAGATACTAACCTAAAGCAAATATTGGAAAACTAGGAATCGAGTTAGCCGGAAAACACCCGTTCTAGGGGCTGTTTTCGTATCAACGATTAGGGGTTGAAATAGC